ACATGACTCAGGTAAAGGTGAGCACAGGGTAACCATCTGAAAATATAAAGACACATCACAGGCAGGGTGCATACAGTGTAACAATTTAAGAATATGAAGACACCCAACACAGACAGGAGGTAGGTTTGGCCCACCACTGGCCATAGTTTGCTGACCGCTGGTCTCCTAAGAAAGATGGTTATTGAAACAGAAAGGTGACGCATTTAACAATATAGAGGGAAATGGTAGTGATGACAATCTCTTTAAGTTGTGGCGTGCTGGTACCCACTGCCCAGTCCCCACATCTGTCTCAGTGAGGTCATGAGCTGGAGTCCCCAGGGTTCCCAGCTCTCCCAGGAGGGGCAGAGCATCTTGCACAGTGAATGTAACTCCAGCACTGAATCCTGGGCTGCCCTCACTCAGCCCCTAGGCTCAGCCATTTGGCCTCTGTTTACTGCCACCAACCGTATAGAAGCTCTCCCGCACCAACAATGGCTTCACAGTGTCCTAAGCATCTGTGTGATGCTGCACACACAGTCCAGATGCAACATGGTAAAGTCAACTAGTGTCTTACAGAATCCAGTATGTAACCAGTTGGGGCAGGTGGGTATGGGAACAAAGTACTAAGATCAGGCCTGATTCCTGGGCCTTTAGGAGATTCGTGTATTACCAGGAAACCTTACTATCCGTGGAAGAATGGGAGAATGTAAGCATTAGGACTCAAACCCAGAGTCCCAGTGGCTGAGAGACTGGACACTCACTATCAGAGGTGTGGGGTGTGTGTGTGTGTGTGTGTGTGTGTGTGTGTGTGTGTATGGAAGGGCGGTGCTTCATCTGGTCTGTTGCCCTTAGTTTGTTGTTGTTAAGTGCCATTGAGTCAGTTCCAACTCATAGCAATCCTATATATAGTGTTTCCAAGGAGCAGCTGATGAGTTTGCACCATTGACCTTGCAGTTAATAGTCCAGTGCTTACCCTACAGCTCTATACCAAGCCTCCCTTAGTTTACAGAAAAAGAAATGAGGCTGAAGGATGAGGTGTCTTGTGCCCAATTACCCAAGTCTGAAGCACGATTTGTTCTGGGACAAGCCTCTTGGGTTTGATGCCAGGACAATCGCACGCCCTCCCACCTCTCAGCACCATCTGCCACGCACGTGTCCAATCCATTCATGTGTGTTTAGTTACTGAGCACCAGGTGCCTAGCTGAGTGCTAGGCTTGGAAATCACTGTCTCACAGCAGGAGAAAGCAAACGATTAGAATGATGGTTGGCAGAGCTGCCCACTGCCAATGAGGCAGGTGGGTCCACCTGAGTGGACCACAGACACGCACACACACACCACCACACATGCACAACATACATGCAAATACAAACTGTACAAATGTGCACATACCATACCCACCACACATACAATGATACAGACACAAATGTGCACACAGTACACATACGACTACGCACACACCATACACACCACACATATGTGCACATATGCAACCCACATGACCACACACATGTACACACCATAAACACATGTGTGACTGCACACACCATATACATCACACATATGACTGCACATACATACACACACCATACACACCACACACGTGTGTGCCCATGTAACTGCATGTGCACATGTGCACACAACCACATGCATGACCACACACGTGTGCATGCACCACATGTGACTGTGCACTCATGGCTGCACACATGTGCACCACACATGTGACTGCACACACCTGTGCACATGCCACAGTTATGGCTACACACATGTACGCACACCACACATGCTGCTGCACACATATATGCACACACCACACACCACCACAAATGCACAATTGCCACACATGTGCACACACAACATATGTAAATACCTTTGGCGCATCAGGAATGATGCAGAGTGCTGTCGACTGAGACGTTCTGACAGTATCTATACAGCCAGTGATTTGGAGACATACCAGCTTGCCCTTGAGTCCTGGCTGCCTCGTCCCTTAGCTCTGCCACCCCAAGCTACCTGACCTCAGCCTTCAGATTCTTCCTCTGTGAAGTGGGAGTAAACACATGCCTGGTAGCGTTGTTGTCTGGCCCAAACAGAACATATGGTAATTCACCAAGCCTGTCCTGCCTATAGTAGGTGCTTGTCAGGGTTTGATCCTCAACTTAAGGTTGGATTCTGTTGGAGAAGACAGAAAAGTGGTCTTTACATTTTAAACTGAAACCAGAGCAGTGTGCTCTTTCATTTACAAAACAGTGTCTACATTGTGATCAAATGGACAACAGTAACCTGACAAGTTAGGTGAGAGGCTCAGGGGCAGGGCGTGTATGCTAGCTAGGTACAGTTCAAAAGGATCGTCAGAATGGTTGCATGATTTAAAGACTACTGTGCTCTTCACTGAGTTATACATGCAGAAAGTTTTGTTTTGCTGAGCATATTTTCACCTATAAATACACAAATCATAATAACTAGAGAGAATGAGAAAGATCTGAGATGATGCCAGCAGGTCCCAGGTGCACAGCAGAGAGAGATGTAAGACTTTCAGAGGCATGGATCAGGGAACTTTTCTGGGGAGCAGACTCTAAGGCCGCCAGCTCAGCACCGAGGCAGGGATGACGGACCCAGTCTTCGGAGCAAGGGATCTGACTGGTGTCTACCTTCTTTCCTCCAGGTGCCCAGACTGACGACAACAACCCCCGGCGCACCGGCCACCGCATCGTGGCACCCCCTGGTGGCCGCTCCAACATCACCAGCCTTGGCTGACAGGCAGATCAAGGCACCTGGGAATGCACCCATCCTGGTGTTGCTCCATATGGTACTGACGGGGGAATTGAGTGATGTCCTCGCCCTTTTTGTTTAGGAAGAAGCGGTACTAGTGTGGTGTGTTTGCTTGGAAATGCCTTGCCCCTTGTGTGTTCACACAGACTCACCTCAGAGCATGGTGTCTACATTTCCTCCTAGTGACCCCAGGTGGCCGTGTCTCGTTTTGTCCCTCACTCCCCACCGCCCCCCCTTGGCTCCATGATTCTCTGAGTGATGACACCTTGCACCCCGTAGCTGTTCTAGGATAGTCGATGCATGTCCCTAAATTGTGTATGCAAGTCTTCGAGTGCGTCTGACAAAACACACACCAAGGACCGATGTGGGCACGATGCCAAGACCTCAACCCTCGGGGCAGTTCCAAAACTCCTCGATGAAGATGTTTACTCAGTGCCCTCCCCAAGTCTACCCCAGAAAGAAGCCCCCTCCACCCACCCCACTGAGATCTGAGAAGCCTCCGAAAGGCAAGGACACTCCGCTTGGTGGTGGAGAAATGTCGTCCACATACTACATCTGAAACACTCATCTCAGTGACTGCTTTTGTGTCGCTCCCATGTGTGTGTCCTTCAGTCAGCTGTGAACCCACTGAGCCGGGCCCCCTCCTCATCCAAGGCTAATGGTGGTGGTGGCGGCTCCTGGCTCCCCCAAGTCCTGGGTCCTGTGGGGCAGTGGACGGGGCAGCCTGATTTTTAAAGTTTTGTACAAAGTTTTTCTTTGTAATCACTCTCCTCCCATTTTTACTTAACACCCTATTTGTTGTGGCTCTTATTTCTGAACTCAAAGCTTGTGAAAAAATAAAGGAAATCAACCGCCCACTGATGGGACTGGACATTTATGTTTGGGCCAGATTGACAGTAAATACTCATAGCTCCCAGCAGTGACCAAACAGTGGTGGCTGTAGACATAGGGAAGTCAGAGGGAGGAGGAGCACACTGGCTGAGTCTCCAGAGTATGGGGTCCCCGACAGCTGCCCCTCACTCACATGTCCCTTCCCCTTCCCACCCTCTTTTGGACTCTCAACGCACGTTTGATATAGACCTATTGTAGTCTGGACCCTCCAGTCCCAGGATCCAGACATCCATTGTAAGGAGTAAAAACTCAGGCCAAGTTTCTCATCTCCATTAGCTCTTAGCAGTATTCATGGTGGGGGCAGCAGTGGTGGTGATCATGTTGGTAGTGATGATGGTGGTGGTGACAATAATGATGGGGATGATGTTGGGAGTAATGATGGTGGAGGTGATGATGGTAGTGATGGTGATTGAAGTGATGGTGTGGTGGTGATGATGGAGGTGTTGGTCGTGGAAATGGAGGTGATGGTGATGATAATGAGGTGATGGTGGTGAGGGTGATGGAGGTGATGGTGGTGATGGTGGTTATGATGGTATTGGTGGTGATAGAGGTGATGGAGGTGTTGGTGATGGCTGTGGTGGTGATGATGAAGGTGATGGTGATGATAATGAGGTGATGGTGGTAAGTGAGGGTGATGGAGGTGATGGTGGTGAGGGTGGTGATGATGGCTGTGGTGGTGATGATGAAGGTGGTGGTGATGATAATGAGGTGATGGTGGTGAGGGTGATGATGATGGCTGTGGTGGTGGTAATGG